TGGAGGCCAGGATCTTGAGACCCAGGCTGAAGCTGTAACACTCCAGCAATATTTTATTCTTACTTTTCCTTGGAGTAAAAACAAACATCCTTAGCAAGAGAACCCATCATTGCCTTTCTTTTTTTTCTGTGGTTCGACAGAGTCTGCACTTGTGTCCTGTCCCAGTGCTAGAGTCGAAGAGTGCCCGTCGGTGTTACACCCTACGCCCCTCACAGACAAACCCTCAAACTCCCTGGGCTCCAAGCGATCCCTCCTGCCTCAGGCCCTCGCCGAGTAGCCTGGGACTACCAGGACATCCGCGCACCCCCGATGCCGCTAATTCTCTATTTATCATATTAAGGGGACCCTGCAGCGCTTGGGCCCAATTAACATTCTTTCTATTTAATCGATAGAGACGGGTCCTCCGCTCTGTCTTTCGGCTCCCAGACATGAGATAATAGACATAGAGAGACCAATACCGCCAAAAAAACAAAAAAAAAAGAGAGAGAGACCTGGCCTCGGATCTCACAAGAGCTAGGATTACAGGCTGAGCCCACGCTCCGGCTCATCTACCATCTTCCTTATCCAAAGTATTAAAATAGCTGGGTATCGGTGGCATGTACCACTGTTAGTACCTAGCTACTCAGGAGGACTGAAGAGTAGGATTGCGCTGTGAGTCATGAGTTTGGAGGCTATGTGGTGAGTATGATCTGGGTGCCGCCCCCGACCGCACCACCCTGTCCTCTAAAAAAACTAAAAAAATATCAAACCTCTCCCTAAGGACTGAAAGCTCGGAACATCTACGGTGTGCTGTATCACAATTTATCAAAAGTGGCTTTCTTCTTTTCTTTCTCTCTCCTAATCCCCCGCTTACCACCCAATGAAATGCATTGGCCTAAAACTCGATTTCCCCAGCTTCCCAATTTTATAGTACTGTCCAAAGCGCGAGATGGACAGTTTTCAATAACCGCCCTTTGAGAAATCTGCCCCTGATCTCTAAGTATCGGAGGGACACCCTGCTTTTGAGCAGGTGGATTCGTCTGGAGGCAGCTGTTTCATAACTTTCTATCGTCTGAGCTATCCAAATATACAACGCCCGATAGCCCGCATCGTCGCGCCATGTGCGAAACACAAAAACACATAAAATCGCAGCGGGATGAAACTGAAGTTTTATGTTAATCGAAATGCTATGAAAATAGCATAACGATGGCAGTGGCGACCCCAATGTATGCCTCCCACGTATTGATTTATGACTACCTGTAACCCCTGTCCCCCTGAAATGTACAAACTGTAACTCAGCCACAGTGAGTCCACTTGCTCAAAGCTTCTTGGGAGTGGCATCATGGTCCTCAAATTTGGCTTAGAATAAACTTCTTTCAAATGTTTCAGAGTTTGAGTTTTTCCATCCACGCCAGCTTTCCCCCTTCTTTATTCAAAAGGCAGGTACGGGGAATCCAGAGGCCCGCTCTCACCCTCACGTTCCACCTGTAAGTGAACAACAGATCTCTGACTTGCACACCTGTTTTGCCATGTGCTGGTGTAGTCACATGATCAGAAGGGCACTCTGAGCTTCAGGCTCAAGTCTGCCTCAGCGTGGCTTGAGGAAGGAAAATTGGCTAGTTAAGATGTTGGGACTTCACTAGGCACAGTGGCTCATGGCTGTAATCCCAGTACTTTAGGAGGTTGAGGCAAGAGGATTGCTTGAGGCCAGGAATTTGAGACCAGCCTGGGTAACATAGCAATATTTTATTTTATTTTATTTTCTTGGGTAACCCATTGCAAGAGACCCATTTCTTATAAATATAAAACTAGCTGGGTATGGTGGCATGTACCTGTAGTCCTAGCTACTCATGAGGCTGAAGGAATAGGATTGCTTGAGTCCTGGAGTTTGAGGCTATTGTGAGCTATGATTGTGCCAGCCTGAGCAACAGAGACCCTGTCTCTAAAAAAATAAAAAAGATATAAGCATCTAAGAGTGAAAGCCTCGAACATCTGGTCTTTCATAATTTAAAAGGGCTTCTCTTCTTTTCTTTCTCTCCCTAATCTCCTGCTCTTACATCTAATGATTCATGTGCCTAAAACTTGTATTTTTCCCACTTCCCAATTTTATATATGCCAAGAGGAGAATGAGTTTTCAAAACCCCCTTTGAGAAACTCTGCACCTGATCTCTAGTATAACACCTGCTTTTGAGCAGGTGGATTCGTCTGGAGCAGCATTGTTTCATAACTTTCTACGTCTGAGCTATCCAATATAATAGCCGCTAGCCGCATGTGGCCATGGAAAACATAAAATGACTAGAAACTGAATTTTAATTTAATCGAATGCATTGAAATAGTCATACGTGGCAAGTGGGCACCATATTGGACAGCACAAAGGAGTCTCTTTTGCTTGGTTGGAAACTTCTGAACAGATATAAAGACTTTCAAGGAGAGGGACAATCTCTGTTACTATGCAATTCACATCAGAATTTTATTCTTTTCTTTGACTCTTATTTTCTTTCCTATTTGGTTTCAGGAAGGTAAAGCAACGGATAGAGAAAGAAGGGAGCAGATGGGAGAGGGCTGGGCATTTTGAATGGTAATTGAGGCTCCTCTTCCCATTTTCCAACTGCCCCCATCCCTCGGCTGCCTCTTGGTATCTGGCTATTTTATCTCATTCTGCCTCCTTGTTTTTCTCCTTCCCACATATCATCATCTGTGTATTTCCTTATTATCTTGTTTACCTAGAATGCCAGCTCTAGGAATGTGAGCATGTCTGTCTGTTTTTGTTCACCACTCTATCCCAGTGCCTAGAACTTGGGATATAGTTAGGCATTTAACAAGCACTTATCGAATGAATGAACTTCCCCTTCTCACACACACACACGCATACATTCTAGACAGATTAAAATGTTATGTGTTTAAAAAAAAAGAAAGAAATTGTAAATGAAAATAGTTTTCAAACATCTGGAAAAGGAAAGAAATTCTGAGTTTAAGATTAACAGCTAACATTTATTGAGTGTATTATAGTTCCAAAGCTTAAGGTTTCATACATATTAGATTATTTAACCTTCCCAGTAAGCCAAGGAGATCAGTTTTGATATTTTTTCCTGTGATACATATGGGGAAAATGAGGCCTGGGAATTGTGTGACTGGTCCAGGTTCTACAGCTAAATGCTGGTGGGTTGGGATTCTAGTTCACAGCTACCTGACTCTGGTGCCTGTGTTCTTTCCTTTGTAAAATACTGAACAGTGGTGAAGCACACTGGCTCATGCCTGTAATCCTAGCACTCTAGGAGGCCAAGGCAGGAGGATTGCTTGAGGTCAGGAGTTTGAGACCAGCCTGAACAAGAGCAAGACTCTGTTTTTACAAAAACTAGAAAAAATAAGCTGGGTATTGTGGCTCGTACCTGTAGTCCCAGCTACTCTGGAGGCTGAAGCAGGAGGATCACTTGAGCCCAGGAGTCTGAGGTTGCAGTGAGCTATGATGATGCCACAACACTCTAGCCAGGGAGACAGAGTGAGACCCTGTCTCAAAAAAAAAAAAAAAAAAAAAAAGAAAGAAAAAGAAAAGAAAAATGAAAACCCAAAAAACTAAATAGCCAACAGTGTGGTGACAGAAATTGTCTTTATATTGCCTAAGGTAGAACAGGATGTGAGGAACATGCATCTTATGTCCAGTAGGTGGAAATGTAACCCAACCCTTAGTGAGAAAACTATGACAGCAACTATCCAAAGCCTGAAAAAGACAATGTCTTTTGCCTAGGAATTCTTTCTTCATTAACTCATGTTACAAAAAGAATAATATATGTGTGAAAGCTTTACCTATAAGGACGTTCATCAGGACATTTTTATGACAAGAAGAAATTGGAAATATTTGGGTCTTCATGACATGGGGAATAATCATAGTATTTATAATTGAATTGTGGGTATGACTTACATAATGCGCTCATATTTTTTTTGTCTCCATCTGTATACTTTATTCTGAATGGTTCATGTATTTCCTTGTTTCTTCAGGAAAATTTATATAGGTCCCCACAAATTTTACGTGACTCTTCCAGTTGCAAAGCGTCTTCTCAACTTAACTAAAATCTTCAGGCCCTGCAATTAGCCACAGCTCCACAATTTGTTCAGAATAATGGACGCTCCTCTCCCTTAGAAGCTCCAGTTACAGAACAGAGATGTGGTCAGTCTCTTTCTCTCTCTTTGGTTCCTTCTCTCTCTTCCTTCTCTCTCTGGTTCTTTGTGATTCTCTTCCTCCACCCCCACCCCACCTTGCTAAACAAAGTTTTTGTCTCCTAGGTAGTAGAGGGAGGAAGGACCAATAAGAGGGAGTAGGAAAGTTCTTAGACAAGAGAGACTGTCACAGCTGGCTTTGTACTTCTGGTCCTGACTCTTTCCTGGGAGATTTTAAGGGTCCACTGGAGACATAAAACATCTTCCCACCATTTATAGTTTGGATACTTCCCCAACTGCAGCCCTCTTCTCTGCTACTACAGGCCACTTTAACCAGATCCTCATGCTTTAGGGGCTTTAGTCATAACTCGAACACAAGTCTACTATGTCCCTGTAAACCTCTGGGAACACGCACTAAGCTCTGAGTAGTATTCATTAAGCCTTTTCTTTCGAGTTGGAATCAGAAGGCAGCATCTCCGCTTCCCCGAGCAAAGCCTTTTACCAGCCAAATCTTCAAAATCCTCTATACGATTCCTTCAACTCTGGACCACTTATATGCATGAAAGTCTTGAGTCCCTTAACAGCTCTTAGCCATCATCTTTTCTCAAGTCTCTGTCTCACAACTCCCTCTTCGTTTGCATTAGTGCTGTTTGTCTTAGGATCTTCACTAAAACTGCCTTATAACATCCTGTTATGTATTTTTAAAAATAAAATATCAGGACACTTAATGCGTCTGATGTCATGAAAATAATGATTACAACGTAAAAGTACATACATATACCGATTATCTGTAGGTGGTAGAATTCCTAATGCTTATCCATTTCATCTTTGTATTTTTTAACTTTACAAATTGTATAATCTGAAAAAAGCAATTCATTTAAAAAAGAAACAAATTTTGCAAAGGAAGGGGTATGTACTATGAGATGGAAAGAAACTTGGGGAAATCATTGGCTAGCTTTAGAATTGATGTGCTGCTGGGTAGCTGAGGGTAAAAAGGGAAAGTAGGAGAGAGAATATCATAGTATTCCCAAGCACCTTCCTTGTGTTTCCTACCCTGTTATTCTCAATCCCTTCTCTTCCTCTAGCAGCACTGGGAAAAGACCCGTCTTCTGCCAGAACTTAACCCAAATACACAGACACCAACATGAAGTCCTGGGTTCTCCTCCTTATCGTGTCCATCTCTGCAGTTGTGATCATTCTGCCTGTGCTGGGAGGCACCAAATCCGAATGTCTCAGAGGTGATGTGAAGAGGGAAGGGCTGCTCTTCCTAGTCCTGGGATGTCTGTAGGAGCTGATTCGGGGCCCACATTTCCAGATCAGATCCCTTCTTAAGCAGAGACATCCAAGCAAGATTAGGTGGTATGTTCCCAGTCTGGTGTCCCTTCAAGCTCCCCCCGCCCCCCAGCTCTGAAAGCAATCTTAGGTATATGAAAAGGGACCAGAGCTTTTTTTTATTTCGGCATATTATGGGGGTACAGATTTTAAGGTTTAAATAAATGCCCATTTCCCCCCCTCCCCCCAAAAGTCTGAGTCTCCATCATGACCATCCCCCAGATGGTGCGCATCTCACTCATTATGTATGTATATACCCGCCCCCCCCACCTGCCCAATACCCTATTACTGTAGTACCTATGTGTCCACTTAGGTGCTACTCAGTTAATGGGACCAGAGCTTTTGTAAACATTCCATAATCATATTTTCCAATGTCAGACCAGCTTGGTTAGAGGAGACACCCACATAGCTTCCCTCTGAGCCCATATTTTCAGGATCTGTGTGCCTCAGTTGGGTGAGCCTTTAATGAATAACAAAAGGGTAATATTTAATACATTCATTTAGTTGGGGGGGTGCAGGGGGAGAAATCTTTTTAGAACATGAAAAAGCAGAAAACACAAATAAGGGGTCCTTAGTAGATCAAAGTTCGGGTTCATATGATAAGAAAGTGGGGACAACAAAGGACTGAGCAGGAGGGTTGTGAACCAGTGAAAGACATGAAATTTAGGGAGAAAAAAAGAGAAGAAATTTAGAGAGAGGCTGAGTGTTTAGGTGATATCAGGGAAGCAAATAGAAGGGGAGAAAAGTAAGTTTCGATTCTCCCTCGGGTCAGTTTCCCATTGTGCAAATTTGGTGTGGAAATTAGATCTAGAGGGTATTGCAGGCTCTGGAATCTTAGGTTATAGGAGAAGAAATTAGGTGGAGTGGTGCCATACATGGTCAGGGTGTTCCAGGTCCTGATTTTAGGAGCCAGGGTCCTGCAGTGCTGTGGGGACTTGTGGGAAAGGGGAACACATGTCAGAGAAAGATGGTCTCTGTTGAAGAGACTGGTTAAAATTGGAGATTTTATTGGAAGGCAGAGAAATACATTGTGGCTTGAATCTCAAGTTCCACATGGGGTTGTCAAGCTTGAAAAGGGTTTCTTTTCCAAGTTGTGAATGGATGAACCCTACTAACTTCTACTATGTCAATTCCACTTGAAGTAAAAGAAACTCAGCAGTGCTGGGTACAGCCTCCAAATAAGTATTGTAGAAAGAGGTGCACTAGAGGGCGCACCTGTCTGCATCAGAATCATACGTGCTGCTGGACCTTCTGTGGAAACATCTGCTTACATAATGAGTGAGTCGGTCGGGGTGGGAAGGCTGGGGGCTGGGCATGCTTCATCCCTGCTCCTCATCCTCTATCCAGAAGCTGTGATCAGGAGCAGAAAATTGCAGTCACCCAAATCCTGCTCAAAGGAACAGGCAGTAAAAGGCAATAGCCTTCTATCTCCAAACCTCCAAACCTGCCTCTCGCTGCAAAATAAATCAAGACGCTGACATGGGGGCCTCTAAATTTTTCTTCACTCTTGTTTGATTCCCTTTGCTTCCCTCAAAACATCATCCGCAAGTGTATACATCCCTCCTTTGTCCAAGACCCCAGTTACTGCCCCCTTAGTTGGGCTTCTTCACCGGCCCCCTTCACTCAGCCAGGCCCAGAGACCTGGTCGCTGCCTGTCTGCAGAGCCAGCAAACCTCGTGGGAAAAATTGCTTAAAAGTGAGCAACTCCTGATGTCACAGAAAGAATTTCTAGTCTTCTTATCTTGGGCCTAGGGGACTATTAAGTTTGGAAATAGATTTCCCCCAGGGTTCCTGACTTTTGACTATCTGCCTTTTCTCTTTCAGAGAGCCCTTCAAATCAATAGTAGATTTCGAGTCTTCTCCCTATGAATACTAGACTACCACTAGTGTGGGCTAGAGGACAACCATGTGTTCTAAGAAGACTGCTGCCTGGTTCCCTGTTGGGATCCCTAAGTTGCCCCAGCTGAGGACCTCTCTGCTCTTCTTTGGCTTCTTTACCCTAACAAGGCTCAAGTTTTTGCCAAATAAATGGATATACCAACCTGAGGGCTCTGCACTTCTTTCCTACTCCATACCTATGACTTAGTTTCCCTCATTACAATCTCCAACAGTCCCAGTAGCTGTTCCCATCCCATCATGGGCCTAGGTACCCAATTCTGCCTTTCCAGTATTTAGCCCTATGTATTAGCCAACCTGTAGCAACTAATCAAGGAGATTTATTAAAGTCTCATGGGGCTGACACAGTAAGAGTTTCTTTTCATTCACAATGTATGTCACTGAGGGTGGTCAGCGGGAAGTCATCCACACCGTAATTCAAAGAACCTGGATTCTTCCTTCTGGAGCTCTGTCATCTTCCAGGGCCTCTTCTGCTGGTTCCTCTACATCCAGCCAATAGACGGGAGAAGAAAGGTAGTGGGAAGACTCATGTAGAAGGCTTTTAAGGGCTGGACTCAGAAGAGAGGTTCATCATTTTTATCAACATTCCACTGGCCATAATGCAGCCCTATGGGTCCACCTACTGGCAAAGGAGGCTGGAACATGTAATCTGGTTATTACAGAAAATCAGAAGATGGGATTTGATAAATGCTTGGCGGTCTGTGACCTGTCTACTCATGCAAAGCCAGACTCCTGAACACAGTCCCAAGACCCTGGCCTCCACATCACTCTGTCCAATGGAACAAGCACCACTCTAGTGAGAAGCGGGTATATCCTGCTGTTAGAGAAAGCGTCCCTGCCTTTCCAGTGGGGACCACAAGCTTCCAGAATGGACTCATCCTTTTGCCATACCTAGTGTCCTCTTATTTCCGCCAGGTCAGTTCTGTCTCCCTGGCAATTTTACTGGGTAATGTTTGTCATATCCTGTGATTTCCGGTAATGCAAGGGAGGCTTTCTTGACCATATTGTTTCCCTGGAGTATGTCTGAATTTTCACCATTTGTCATTGGTATTTTGATCATTTCAAAAAATGTAACTTCCCCTGGATAAGGAGATTATAGAGCGCCCACTGTGTATCCAGTCTTGTCCCTCTCCCTGGGCCAGAGGGCCAGATAGTCTCACTAAGATGGGTGAGTCAGAATGTCACATCTGTCAATGTTATAGCCCAAGAAAAGGCTTGGGAATGTGCAAAGACCAAGGCAAGACAAGCCTAATGGATTATTGATTAGTTCCTTAGAGCTCAGAGGAATGAAAAGAGACAACAGTTTAGGGCAGCAGTCCCCAATCTTTTTGGCACCAGGGACCAATTTCATGGAAGACAATTTCTCCACAGACTGGGGGTGGGGTATAGTTTCGGGATGCATTACAAGTGCAAATGCATTACAAGTGCAAGCACGTTACATTTATTGTGCATTTTATTTCTGTTATTATTACATTGTAATATATGATGAAATAATTATAGAAATCACCAGAATGCAATAATGCACAATCAGTGGGAGCCCTGAACTTGTTTTCCTGCAACTAATGCCGCTGCTGATCTGACAGGCAGTGATGTGAGCGATGGGGAGGAGCTGTGAATACAGATGAAGCTTCACTCACTTGCCCATTGCTCGCCTCCTGCTGTGCGGCCCAGTTCCTAACAGGCCACAGACTGGTAGCCGTCTGTGGCCTGGGGGTTGGAGACCACAGGTTTAGGGTCTCAGAGGCTCGAATAACATCCTTCAGGAGTGGGGCTTCATCTTGGGCTTGAGGGATAGAGCAGACATAGAACTCTTTAAAGTAAAGGTAGTTATTCTTTCCTGGCAAAAGAAATAGAAATAAACAAAAGGTTAGGGACCCTCAAAGGAAAAACTAGGGAAAGAAAGGGTTTTCCTCTTGGGTACCCTACTGCAATATCAGCTTTCTTTTACACCTTCACCTGCCAAGCCTGGGTCATGAGAGGAGGAAAGGGGAACTGTTGCTTGACCAATATTGACAGAAGAGAAATTGACATAGAGAAGTGGAAGGGCACCAAAGGGATCAGTAAAACGTGGACATACAAATAGCACTTCCCTCTTGCCAGCCACATACCCAAAGGCTATGGATTATATAGACTGACAGCCAACTAAGCTCTCAGTCATGACACCCACTGAAGAAGATATAATGCCTAAATTGCTTTTCCTTGTCATGGTGGTTAATGTTAGTAAACTTCAGATTGGGTTGTGGAAACAATATCAGCATCTTTATTATTAAAACCGAAGTGGTGGCTGGGTACGGTGGCTCACGCCTGTAATCCTAGCACTCTGGGAGGCCAAGGCAGGTGGATTGCTCAAGGTCAGGAGTTCGAAACCAGCTTGAGCAAGAGCAAGACCCCGTCTCTACTAAAAATAGAAAGAAATTAATTGGCCAACTAATATATATAGAAAAAATTAGCTGGGCATGGTGGCGCATGCCTGTAGTCCCAGCTACTCTGGAGGCTGAGGCAGAAGGATTGCTTGAGCCCAGGAGTTCGAGGTTGCTGTGAGCTAGGCTGACGCCACAGCACTCACTCTAGCCTGGGCAACAAAGTGAGACTCTGTCTAAACAAACAAACAAACAAAAAACTGAAGTGGTAATAAATGATGAAACTATGGGTATGGCCCATCACTTCTGTCCAGTGGCATGAAGCATATACCAATGACTTACTATAGAAGACACCCTTAGTACTCTGCCCAAATTCCCTTTACTGCTGGGTACACTCATCGCTCAGCTCCTGCAGGTGCTATGGCTAACAGTATACACCTGCAGCCTTCTACAGAGGCTTCTTTGGGTGGATAGGAGTCACATAAGCCAGAAATGCCTGTCTCTGGGGACAGTGTATGGCTGATACACGAATACAGAGCCGGGGCCTCTATCCAACATTCTGACTTTTTAAAGGGCTGTCTGAGGGATTAGTTTCTGTCTTTCCTGGCTAAAAGCACTGATGGAACCAGCATAGTTTGGATGCCTGGGGGCCTATGAAAACAGGAGAGTGGGAACAGCTTGCTGTGGCACCAGAGAACCTGCAATGCCATAGACAGAGGCTGGGATGGCTCATTGTGCTCAAGATCAGGTGCCAAACTTTGTGGCTTCTACCTAGCGGGGGAGGGAGGGAGGGAGAAGAATGGCGCTTTTATCCAGCATTGTCACTATTTAGAGGGTTGCCCAAGGGACTGGTATCTGTCCAGCCTGACTTGGGGAGCTGATGGGAAGCCAGCTTACTTTGGATGCCTGGGGGCTTCTGGAACAAAGCGGGGTGAGGCAGTTGCTGTTGCAGCTTTAGGGAACCTTTAGGACTACAGACAGAGACCAGAAGGAACAAGAGGTTACAAGCTCCTTGTGGCTTCTATCTTGCAAAGAAAGAAATCAATAAACCTGTCTGATTGGGAAGTGGCATGCAGAAGCCCAGAGGGGTTGTATTCCCCACAAAAGTTTTCAGAAGCCCTGAGAATCTCTAGCTAGACTGATTGGTGAAGGTCCTCCCCTGTACAAAACCTCTCCAGAAAGTCTGGGAGAGTAACTATTTCTTTGAAATGTTGCTGAAAGAAATCAAGGAAGACACAAACATATGGAAAGATATCCCATGTTCAGAGATTGGTAGAATTAATATTGTTAAATGCCCATAGTACCCAAAGTAATGTACAAATTTAATGAGATCTCTCTCAAAATCCAAAAGGCATTTTTTGTAGAAATAGATAAAAACCACCCTAAAATTCATATGAAATCTCAAAGGACCCCAAATAGCCAAAACAATCTTGACAAAGAAGAACAAAGCTGGAGGCATCACACTTCTTGACTTCAAAACATATTATTAATATAAACTTGTAGTAATCAAAACAGTATGTAGTTGGGATGCAGTAGTACATGCCTGTAATCCCCACTACTTGGGAGGTTGAGGTAGAAGGATCACTTGAACCCAGGAGTTTGAGACCAGACTAGGCAACATAGCAAGATCCTTTCTCAAAACAAAACAGAAACAGAAACAAACCAGTATGGTACTGGCATATAAACAGACACGTATGAATGAAACAGAATACAGAGTCCAGAAAAAAACTCCACGTATAAGGTCAAATGATCTTCAACAAAAGTTCCAAGACTATAAAATGGGTAAAAGGTAGACTCTTCAATAAATGGTGTTGGGGTGGACCCTTATTTTACGCTACATACAAATATTAACTCAAAATGGATTGAAGACCTAAATGTAAGAGCTGAAACTGTAAAACTCCTAGAAGAAAACTTATATATATATAATGGCCTCTAAGTGTTAAACTAAAAGGAAGAGGCTGGGCATGGTGGCTCACGCCTATAATCCTAGCATTCTGGAAGCCGAGGCGGGAGGTGATTGCTCGAGTTAGTGAAGTTCTAAATCAGCCTGAGC